TTTATTTATCATATATACTCTAGCTCCATCCATGTGTTACAAATGGCAAGATTTCATTCTTTTTAATAGCTGAATAATATTCCATTTATACACCTTAATTTTTGTAAAATAGCTCAAAGATGATGAAACACACAAATAAACCAGAAGGTTGTGCTACACTGGACATCCAGTAATCTTTGTTAACAACTTTAAAGTCTTTCACAATTTGTCTAATGTTGTTTGTTCTTACCTGAGTTGAGGAAGAACTCTTGTTTCTTCACCCATTGATTTTTCTTCTTTCTATCTGACTCTAGCTTTCAGAATATCAGACAGAGATATTTGCTGCCTCTATAGGTAAACAAAAACAAGAACAGTGGTAATTCTCAGCCTTCATGGCTGTGTCTGGTACAAGCTTTCCACCTGTCACAAAAAAACATGAGCATTAATGTTCAAAAAGAATAAAAGTGGACATTTTTAACAACAGAGGGGGCTTTTTTTTTCAAGAAAAATAAAATACTTTCATTCATTTAGCAAATGTAATGAGCATATCTGCTTTCCAAACTCTGTCATAACCTTTAAGGCCCAGCAAGTGTGGCCTCTGCCTGTCTCTCCAACCTCATGTTATGCCTTTTCCACTCATTCACTACCTTTCATTTTTTTCATGCATTCTTTACTGCTTTAGAAGCTTCAGTATGTACATCCCTCTGCCTGGAATTCTCATCTCCTCACACATCATATGCCTGAATTCTTCTCACCCTCACCACCTCTTTTAAAATGACCTTTCCCTATTCTCCACCCCACCCATTATTCTCTATTCTAGCACCTGCTTATTTCCTTCATAGCATATAACACACTTTATAATTATTTTATTTGTTAGTTTACTTACTTTAGGCTGTCTTCATTGGTAAAATTCAACAGAACATCTTTGTATCAGGGACCATGTCTATTCCTGCTCACCATTAAAATATCTCTAGCACATATGGAATTTGTGATATATAATAGGTTCAAAAATATTTATTGAACTAAGAAATGAATGAATGGCATGTGCTATTCACTAGGGATTTGTCATACACACACACACACACACACACACACAGTTTGTGTAGTTCAGTAAAGAAAACATAGCAGTTATCAGGGAATTGCAGTATAGCCTAGGTGTGTGATATCAGAAGGACATAGTATTATAAGGGCACATAAGATCTGGAGAGTTCTGCTTCTACTATGATATAGTAGCTTTTTTGGACCAACCCTTCCACCAAGAACAACTATAAAAGCTATATAAGGGCTCCCTGGGTGGCTCAGTGGTTTGGTGCCTGCCTTTGGCCCAGGGCATGATCCTGGAGTCCTGAGATCGAGTCCCATATTGGGCTCCCTGCATGGAACCTGTGTCTCCTTCTGCCTATGTTTCTGCCCCCGCCCCCTGTGTCTCTCATGAATAAATAAATAAGATCTTTAAAAAAAAAGCTATATAAATTTTTAAAAAATATTTTAAGGAAGAAAAAAGAAAAAGCAGGTGTCTGAAGAGAAAAACCTAGACAACCAGGATTCAAGGCACCCAAGATCTCAGAGAAAAATGAACCACAGAGAAGTAACACTAGAATTCTTCACCATATTTTTCCTCAACACATTTATTAATTCCTAAGCCAAGGGAATGGGAGGAGGTGTAATGATTCAAGAGACCAAAAAGCCAACCATAGTAGAGTAGCTAAGAGGCTAAGAAAATAAACAATTTTTAGCAGTCTTTGGAGTTTGGAGCCTGCAGTGGAGAAAGATGCCTGGCAAATATCTCAGGCTCTTGGTTTAAACCCTTGAAATGCTCGAGGAAAAAAGACAAACTGGAAATATACCAACCTTCACAAAGACTGAAATTGAGCATCAAATTATGTCAATCTCTGATTAGGTCAGGCAATCTTTAATTTACTTTAGGTAATTGCCAATGGAAATTAAATCCTTTCTGGAGAAATATATCATCATCTAGAACCTCTTTAATTTTTTTCACATTTAATGTTTGGGCTTCAGGTTTTAAAGTCACCAGACATGCCAAAGATAGGACAAAATCACTAAAATTAAGAAAGAGAAACAAAATGAAACAACTCTAAAAGTGATACTGATATTTATTTTGTCTCGTGTGAAATTTTTAAAACTATAATTAATATTTTTAAGAAAAAATAAAGGACAAAATGAATAATTTCACTGGAAAGCTAGAGTCTATTCATTATATTCAAAATTTTAGAAAAGGGATGGAAAATATGGAAAAGAACATAAAAGACATATGGGATATGGTAAAAGGTCTAACATGCATGTAATTGGAGTCCAGAAGAAAGGAAAGAGTGTGACCAGAAGCAATATTTAAGAGATATTGGTAGAGTTTTCCAAAACCAATGAAAGACATCAAGCCAGAAATTCAAGGAGGTCTGTTAATGTCAAGCAGGATAAATACAAAAAACAAAAAGCTCATACCTAGGTAACCATAGCAAAACTACTAGAAAACCAAGGACAAAGAGAAAGTCTTGCCAGAAGGATACATTACCTTCAAAGGACCAACAAATAAAACTAACAAATGATCTAAACAGAAATGATGGAAGTCAGAAAACAATGGAATAGCATTTGTAAAGTGTTGAAAGAAAACAGCTGGTGTAAAACTGTATATACAGCAAAAAATTCCTTCAGAAATGAAGATAAAATAAAGACATTTTCAGCCAAATAAAAACGAAGCACAGTTGTGTACTAAAGGGAATTTTTTAGTCAGAAAGATTGTGGAGGTATGGAAATGCAGAAAGGACTAAGGAGCAAAAGAAAGTTAATATGTGGTTAAATGTAAATGAATGTTGATTGTATAAAATAATAGTGTCTTATATGAAGTTAAAATATGTTTATATATAAACATTGTATATTAAATTATACAGTATACATTGTATAGTATATAAAGAAATATATAATAGTTGAATACATATATACACACATATACACACATACTTAAAATGTATATAGAATATTTGGTACTTTATAGCACAAAAGCAGAGAGGAATAAATGGAGTTAACATGTTTCAAGGTTCATGCATTGCCAGGGAAGTAATAAAAATATCAAATTATAGTGAACTATAATAAGTCAAGAATGCATATTTTAACCTTTGAAATAACCACTAAAATAATAAAAGAATGCATAATTAACAAGCTAATAGAAGGGAAAAAAATTAAAATAACAAAAAAGTGATGAATTCAAAAGAAAGCACAAAAGAAGAAAAAATGAAATAAAAACAGAAGTAACAATAGAAAACAAATAGTAGGGTGATAGCTTTAAACCCAAATATGGCAGAATTTATATAAATGTAAATGGACTAAGGCCTCCAATTAACAATTGTCATTCTGGATTGTAAAAAAATTATAAATTGTATCATGGTAATAAAAGACCCACTTTATATAGAAAGACACAACAAATTGAAAATAAAAGAGTAGGAAAAAAGTTATGATGAAAGCCAGCTGGTGTGGCTGTATTGCGTCAGAGAAAATTAAGGTAAAAAAGGATTACAAGATATTAGGAGGGACATTTCATATATTTCAATGGATTGGTTCATCAGAAAAATACAGCAACTCTAAATATGCATGTAATAATATAGCCTCAAAATAAAGATAAGAAATCTATCATCCAGCCTTGGGAATTAAGGGGAGGCTGAGGAAATGACTGAGATTGAAATAAGGGGTGGAGAGAAGGTAGAAAGAAAGAGTATTCCAGACAGAAGGAAGAACATTTTCAGAGACTGGGGGCAAGAAAGTCTTAGAAACTAAGTGATATAATCTTGCTGGAATGGAGAGAGAAGAAGAGAAAGAGGGATGAGAATGGAGAAAGAGAGAAAGATTGAAATTGAAAAAGAGGAATGGGGTTGGATGGGAAGAGAATTGCCAGATGAGAGTAATGATTGGTTAAAAGGGGGTTAGAAAATACAAGAATCATAGATACGATCTTAAAAAGATGAGGCTTTTTCCTGGAAAACGGGCAGTTTTGAAGTATTATATGTGACTTGATCAGATTTGTTTTTCAAGAGATGTTTCTTACTACTTTGGGCGGAATGAATTCGAGGAGGGCAGGACTATTGGCAGAGACCTATTTCAGTAATCCAGATGAGATGATGTTCATTGAGGCTGTAGAAATAGAAGGGAACAGATGTTTAAAATAAAGTATCCTTTGCTTGTAAAATATTTGAAATTTTAGTGGTTACTAGACTTACTCTTAGATTAAAACAAGAAACTCAACAATAGACCTAGGAGTTAAGAAATTTTTAGGACTAGTTTTTTTTTCTTTATGTCTACAAAACCAACTGCATGACAATGTTGTCTTTCTTTTCCAAAAGTCAAGTTTTGTCAAATCACTGTGGATTGGTTATAACTTTAGGTTGGTTGTTTTTGTTGGCAGCGTATAAAATTGGAACAATTAAAGTCTCTTGACTATCTGTTTTAGAACTCCCTCCCTATTTTTTATTTTAGTTGACTTATTTAGATTTGGCAGTGGGAAAATGTCCAAGTCTTTTCTCTGAGAATGGTACATTATTTTGAGTCAATTAAGGAGAATAACGTAGTACACATACATGTGGCTTTCCTGACCTAGTCCAACTTCTTAAGCTTCTTGTTTGTTAACATCCTTTCTCAAACACAAAATTCTGTATTAAAAGAGAAACAATAACCATCAAGTAATTATTTATATGATTTGGTTTATTATTTAACTACTTCTATTAGAATGTATCTTTTATGAAAAAAGGGACATTATGTGTTTTGTTCAAGCCTATATCCTCCTGTACAAAGATTAGTGTTCAACATATATTAGGAACTCAATAAATATTTATCAAAGAATAAGTGAATGACCAGAATGAAGAAATGAAGGAATTTGTCTTAAGTAAATCAACTTCACTAAAATAAGATGTTTCTTTTCATTTCAATCTTACAAATTCATTTTATTTTCATATAAAGTTTTGAAAGTCTAATATTAGAATGTTTGAAAATAAAGTGATTGTTTTTCATATTTGCAGGACTATCTCAAGCAGGTGCTGGACATTGATCTTCATGCTCAGATCCATTTTGGCAGGGTTTTTATGAAACCAGGGTATGAAAATAACCTTATTATTTTATATATGGGGTTGGTTTGGCTCTTTGACTAACAAGTTTTAAATGCTTTCTTTTTACATTTTCTGGTATGAATTATTTACTCTAATAAAAGAAATATTATAATAATAGAATTCCTTGCACAAATGTACCTCCTATCTGAAATGGGAATTCATCTTCCTTATGAATCTCTGGCTTTGTTATAAACAAAGCAAAGCAACTTTCCAGACCTTTTCTTTCTTTAGTTCCATGTCTGGTTCCTTCTTTCTCTTTTTTCTCTTTGTATACTGCTTCTTTCTCTCCTTTTAAAAACATTTTAGTATCAAAATTCTCAAAATGCACAAAAGTAGAGCGTACAATGAAACCTTCCTGTACCTATCACCATTTTTCCATAACTGTTTTATCAATCCCCTCCTTCATCTTTTTGAAGAGATAGGGGGATAGATTGTTTTTTTGGTTTTGGATTATTTCAAAGCAAATTCTACAATGTCATTTTTATATACATCTCAAATAATACTAAAATAACAGCAGCATTCTCTTGTGTAATCACAATGGTATTTCTCACCTAACAAATAAGAATATCTTAATATCATCTGATACCCTGATCATATTTAAAATTCTCCCAAATATCAAGAGAAAGAATACCTTCTTACATGTTTTATTTAAATTATAATTCAAGTCAGGCCTACTCACTGTATTTGTTTTAAAATCTTTATTAAATAATAACATTTACCTCCATCCTCCTTTTTTTATCATGCCATTGACCTGCTGAAGACACTGAATCATTTGTCCTAATGAATAGATTTAGCTGATCGCTTCCTTGTGGTGGTGGTTAACTTGTTCCTCTCTTTTCCAGTATATTCTACAGACTGGAAGTTAGATCTAAAAGCTTGATTACAGGGATCCCTGGGTGGTGCAGCGGTTTAGCGCCTGCCTTTGGCCCAGGGCACGATCCTGGAGACCCGGGATCGAATCCCATGTCGGGCTCCCGGTGCATGGAGCCTGCTTCTCCCTCTGCCTATGTCTCTGCCTCTCTCTCTCTCTCTCTCTCTCTCTCTCTCTCTCTGTGTGTGTGTGTGACTATCATAAATAAATAAAAATTTTAAAAAAATAAAAAATAAATAAAAGCTTGATTACATTCAGATTCAATTCTTTTTTCCTTTTCAAAAATACTTCATAAGTAGTGTTTCATACTATTTCTTATTATGTCCCAGGAAAAAGAAAAATAACTACATTCTGAGATCTGGCATATCTCTTTCAAAGGCTGATGGAGCTTCTATAATCAGTTGTAAATGCTCAAAGCATGCCAAACATTGGTGTTGAAATATATGTAGCCATGTCTTATCTGATAGTTTGCCTGTTCAAACCTCTGGTACTATATAAACCTTTCATACACTACTCAAAGGACTTAGTGTGTAGGTGAGCATTCTAATTCTGACACCCCTCCATGCCATCAGGGACAATTTAGTAAATAATGCCTTAGTTCAGAACTATACTCTGATGAGTGCTCACATGAACCCTGAGAGAGAGTAGAGATGGGACTTAACCAGTTGTTATGAATGAGCTATGGGAACCATCAGTAAATTCCAGAAACCTTTTTTAAATGTCAAGCCAGTCTTCCTGATCTCCCAGATTTATTGGGTACCTCTCATCAGGTCTAAGGCAAAGATCAGGCTCCACTGCCATGATTTTGCCATTTAAATACGAAGTGAAGATTAACCCTAGTCTTCTCCACAATTTGATAGAATTTAGAATTCTTATTTTTAATTAAATAATCACTTAAAATATTAATTAATTAATTAATTAATTGAGAGAGAGAGAGCACAAGCAGGGAAATGGGCAGAGGGAGAGGGAGAAGCAGAGTACCCACTGAGCAAGGAGCCCGAGTCAGGTTCAATCCTAGCACCCTGGGATCATGACCTGAGCCAAATCAAGACTTGGATACTTAAATGACTGAACCACCCAGGCACTCTTAAAATTGAGAATTCTTGAGGTCCCTGTGTGGCTCAGCAGTTTAGTGCCTGCCTTCGGCCCAGGGCATGATCCTGGAGTCCCGGGATCGAGTCCCACATCAGGCTCTCTGCATGGAGCCTGCTTCTCCCTCTGCCTTTGTCTCTGCCTCTCTCTCTCTCTCTCTCTCTCTCTCTCTCTCTCTCTCTCTCTGTCTCTCATGAATAAATAAATAAATAAAATATTTTTTAAGTAAAGGAATTTAGAATTCTTTACATTATATTTCTGTAGTCGCCCCAATATTGCTACTGCTTCCAAGCCCTTTTATTATTGAAACTGTTGGATTTGGATCATTCTCATTAAGAAATATTTTGTCATAAAGCACCTGGATAGCTCAGTCAGTTAAGCATTTGACTCTTTATTTTAGCTCAGGTAGTGATCACAGGGTCTTGGGATCAAGCCCCACATTAGGCCCCACACTCAGTGGGGAGTCTGCTTGAAATTCTCTCTCTTCCCCTACTACTGCTCTCTCTCTCTCTCTCTCTCTTTTTCTCTCTCTCTCTCTCAAATAAATCTTTTTCTAAAAAAACAGTATTTTGTTTTAAGCAAATATTATTATGCTATGAGTGCACAGGCTTTTTTTCTGTCCCTATGGGCAGTACTAATTTGATTAGAATACAGAGGACATCCCAAAAGCATGTCAGTGTGCTTCTCACTAACCTCAAAAATTCAATCAACTATTCTTTTTGCAGTGAAAAAGAAGCTACTACTAGTTGCCCTCACCTCTAGAGGAGAATAATTGTGTGGGTTTTTTTTTAAAGATTAATTTATTTATTTTAGAGAGGGGCAGGAGGAGCAGAGGGAAAGACAGAATTAGAGGAGAATTATTTATAATATCTATTATTTAAATTACTCAGCACCTGTGATATATAATTTTGGTCTATTTTTATTTTCAGTTTATTTTTTACCTCTTCTTAAGACTCTCATCAGTTCCTAATGTTCATTCTCCTCCCTTAAAGTCATAACACTGTGTGACCTCAGTCATTGTATAAATGCTATTACATTCTAATCCCAAGAGGAGAACTGAACAATAAATGTTGATCCAAGGAAATGGCTTTCCAGAACTTAAACAAAAGCTTCATAGTCTAGCAATAAGACATTCATGATAATAATGCATGATAAAATGTGTTGTTGTGATGGAGTCTTTTTTAAATGAGTACCTTTAGAGAAATCACAGAACCTATCTGCAAGAGGCAAAAGATTATTTAAAATTGGCTTTAAATATAGTAGAAGGAAAGTATTATGCATTCCCTCCTCATTCTTATTATGTGTGTTAGTTTGCTTTAGTAAAATGGTTTAGAAGTTTAAATGGGCTTCCTTTACTTGGCCAGAATTTATACGTGTCTAAAGATAAGAAGAATTTAAAGTAATTGCTCCTTAATAGTAGAACAAAAAGAAGTATAAAAAGCTCAAGAACAATTTAGCTTTGCTCTTCCCACATACAGTGCATTAAGAATATAATTAACCTCTTTTATTTTAAACAGAGATACTAAAAAAAAAAGACATTTGGAGTTTGATAGTCAAGACTACTACCAATCACAATTTTTATGGGTCATCTACAGTGAACATAGATGTCATCGAGAGTGTATCTTGGAAATGATTTTCATCACGTAGTAACAGTCATTGCCAAATAGCCAACTCATAAATTGATATGATAATCTAATCTAGTTTTTCTAAAATACATCAAAGAGTCAAGAAGTAAGCAAAAAGAACCTTCGAGTAGCCAAAAATAGATGTTACAAAGTAGAGATACAACACTTCACAGCAGACCCACAAAGAGCCTTATCAAATTATGAGTCATGAAGTTAGAGAAATCTTGGTTCAAATCTTTGTTTCCCCACTTAGTAGCTAAGAGATTTGGATGAAATCTCTTAATCTGAGCCTCAGTTTCTTCATCTATAAAATAAGATAATAATTGTCATTTATGGGGTTGTTGTGAGAGTTAAATGAAATAATGGATATAATGCATAGATATTTCTTTAAAAATAGTAACTTCTATTATTATTATCATTCTGACAATATAACTATTGCTATTACTCTGTAGTTCCCAAACCTAAAGCCAGCTTTTTTATATTTTTTAAGAGAGGGAGTGGGGGAAGGGCCAGACAGGGAGAGAGAGAGAGAGGACAGTGGAGGGACAGAAGGAGAAGGAGAGAATCTTAAGCAGGCTCCATGGCCAGCACAGAGCCCAATAAGGGGCTCAACCTCACAACCTAGAGATTATGACCTGAGCTGAAATCAAGAGTCAGCTGCTTAACTGACTGAGCCACCCAGATGCCCTGTAAAGCCAACTGGTTGATGATAGGGTAAAAAATTTAATTTCTTTTTAGCCAGATGGTGGGGCCTACGATTAAGAGGAGACACACACACACACACACACAAAAAAAAAAAAAACTAGGGGGGAAAAAGAAACAGGAACTGCAGTGTGTGGTATGGAGTTATGTATTAAAACAATGCATAATATACCCTGTGACCCAACATCATTGTAGTATGGCAGAGTAAAATAAGTTAATAACGATGGGGGTGCCTGGGTGGCTCAGTCACATAAGTATCCGACTCTTGATTTTGGCTCAGGTCATGATCTCAGGGTTATGAGATCACACCCCACTTCAGGCTTATGTGCTAGGTGTAGACCTACTTAAGAGTCTCTCTCTCCGTCTCCCTTTATCCCTCCCCTGCCCCCCCCCAAAAAAAGAAAACACTTAATGATGGTTTTGAATCATCAAAAAAATGTTAACATTCATCATACTATTGCAAAAGGTAATGAGTAGTCCATTTTTAAAAGACCAAGCTGCAAAAATAATAAAATAAAAACAATATAGGTACTTGAAAATTTTTCAACTACATGGAAATTTTAGCATTCCCTAAAGATTCTGTAATGCTCAAGTTTCATTAACATAATGAAGTTTTTAGCTGGAAGTTCATATAAAATGAAGTCAATCAAAAAAGAATCACTATTCTTGACAGCCTGCTGACTCCATACCACTCAGTCAGCCCTTCCTACACCCATCCCCTATGGTAAGGATTCATGTTAGACTCTTGAGGAAGTATTATTTGAAAAAAAAAAAAAATATATATATATATATATTTTATGATAGTCACACAGAGAGAGAGAGAGAGAGGCAGAGACACAGGCAGAGGGAGAAGCAGGCTCCATGCACCGGGAGCCCGACGCGGGATTCGATCCCGGGTCTCCAGGATCGCGCCCTTTGGCGCCTGCCTTTGGCCCAGGGCGCGATCCTGGAGACCCGGGATCGAATCCCGCGTCGGGCTCCCAGTGCATGGAGCCTGCTTCTCCCTCTGCCTGTGTCTCTGCCTCTCTCTCTCTCTCTCTCTCTCTCTGTGTGACTATCATAAATAAATAAAAATTAAAAAAATAATTACTATTGCTTTAATTTTGTTGTAGTCATGGTATTTTATTTATTTTGACATTTCAAAAAAATTGCCTTCATAGGAGGCCAGTTTTTATGTTTGTTGCTGAGTATAGTTTTAAAGAGTTGAGGAATACTCATCTTAAACAACAGGCATTTATCTGATAGACATGTATTACCAGGTAGTCTTCCGATAGTAAGAATGATTGTTGTAAATCTCCAGCAAAAATAATACAGAGGTGGAGAAACTCCAAGATTTGAGGTATACTTCTCTGGTGCTAGAAAGAAGGGGGGGAAAGTAAGCTGCAGACAACCAGGAAGCTTGGTTACTTGAAAACAGAAAATATTAAAAACCAATTAATTTAAATGTTCTTGAAACACTTCATGGTATAAAGGCTTAAAAGAATCAACAAAAAAATATTTGTATATGATAAATATTCTATGTGAAGAGCCACATAGCAAGAAAACTGAAGTACTTAATCTACTCATATGACTTAGCAATCACTAACAAATACCCTTTTTTGTTCTCTAGCCTACCAACAACATTTGCAACTTTGGATATTGACGGTGTAAGAAAAATAATCTTTGCACTACCAGGTAAGAATAATTGAAATAGTTTCTTCTGCTTTTTCTGGAAAAATGTGATCAAAATTTTTTTGAATCCCTATCAAAGCTCTTGACTTGGAATATGAAAGATGTGGGCTCAAGACCCAACTTTACTTACCAAATGACCTTGGACAATTCATTTAACTTCTTTGAAGCCATTTCTTCATCTGTAAAATGAGGCTAAAATCTGCTTTGTAGGATTGGTGTAAATGTCAAATTAGATAGTATCTTTCAAAGCATATTCCAAATGCTAAGATAATAATTGAGTGTTAGCTGTCACTAGATCTTTCTGGGGTACCTACATTTCCTTATAGAAAATTGGTCCAAGTTAGCAGTCTAATCATCTCCCATACTAGAAGTATTGTGTTCAAAGGTCCAAAGGGCCTTAAATAAACCATGCAAGAAAATGCTAGAACAAAAAAATACAAAGCTGCCTTTGGTCTTGCCAAATTTGAACTGAGATCAGGGGGTAGGAAGCAACACAGATGGAGGGACTACTAGTGCTGGTGCTTCTCAGTCAAATCCCAGCATCATCAGTCTGACCACATCACTGTCCCCACCCTTGTTCCCATGTGAGCAGAAACCCGTATGTTCAGATTGTAGAAAAAGCAAAGTGGTTCCATTTATAAAGACTTTCAATTTCAATTTTTTAAAATTGATTTTTGGCTTGCAGTTAAAGCCATACTTTTAAAGTCATTACCAATCTTGATAAATTTTAAAGCAGTTTAAAAATTTTGTGTATCTACTTGCTCTTTTTTTAGCTTTTAAAATTATCCTCTATATTTAGCAGTGTCCCATACTCTATTTCTTGGCACAGATTCCTTCAGAAAATAACCTGCTTATTCCTTTCAGATCCATAAATCGGGTGGCTTTAGGATATTTATCTGCTTTTTATATTAAATAAATCTCAAAATAGAGTATAAGGAAAGGAAGACAGGCAGAAATTTTTCAAAAGCATTTTTAAAGTTCCTATCTATAAGCATAAAAGAGATTAGATTTCAGTCCTGTAGGAAATTTTAAGAGAGAAGACATGTTAGTAAAGTAGTCCTCAAAATATATCTTTAGTATAGAACTCCTTAAGGCCTTTTTTAGGGTCTTTTGTGTGTGTATATATATATATACACACACACACTTAAATACTCTGAAAAAAAATGTGATCCTCTTCCTGGCTTCATTTGCCTAGAAAAGACTGTTTGCATTGTCTTCAGAAGGTATGACTTGACCTATAGACAAAGAATGTTATAGTGGGAGCCCATAAATAACTATTTTCAAATTGCTACTTTTCACTTGAAATTTTCTCTCTCCAGCCTGAATGAACCAAAAGAGGGCAGCAACAACCCAGATGTTCAGATTGTGAAACCAGTAAAGTTGTTTCCTTTTAGAAGGATTTTAAAATTCATGATTGTATTTCTGCTTTCCTGAAGGCCATATATTTAAAGCTATTGCTAATCTTGATAACTTTTAAAGCAGTTTAAAAGATCTATGTACCTACTTGCAATTTTTTTAACCTTTAAAATTACTAAAATAACACGTTTACTCTAAAAACAGAAAATACAGGTAAACATTAGGAAATGTCATCCAGGGATCCCTGGGTGGCGCAGCGGTTTGGCGCCTGCCTTTGGCCCAGGGCGCGATCCTGGAGACCCGGGATCGAGTCCCACGTCGGGCTCCTGGTGCATGGAGCCTGCTTCTCCCTCTGCCTGTGTCTCTGCCTCTCTCTCTCTCTCTGTATGACTATCGTAAATAAATAAAAAAAAAAAAAATTAAAAAAAAAAAAAAAAAAAGGAAATGTCATCCATATTCCCTTCCCCCCACACAAAATAACCACTATTTGCAATTGTTTGCAATCCATTTTTAATAGAGTAATTTTATAAGGCAGTAGCATTGCAGGAATAGTATAATCATTGCTGAACAATAGCTGCTTATTATTTTTTTTTGCTTTTCCAGAAAAATTGTCATCTATGTATTTTGAGACAAGTGAAAAGCAGTTAATTCTCATTAAGAGTCTGCTGTGCTGTTGGACAACTTATTTTTCTATTGAAATCATTAGTATTACTCATCACTTTTTACAACTTAAGAAAATCTATTCTGAACTACTTTTGTAGAAGAAAATTATAAAGGTATGGTTTTAGCTAATAATAAGCTAAACTAGCTACTGCCTTTTGCGTTGATGATGCAATTGGCAGCACATAGCAAAGCCAAGGGAACCTAAAAACTTACTGGTTCATCCCCCACCCCCAGTGTATACATACATGCTCAATAACACTGTATAAAAGTATTACTATTGGGCAGCCCTGGTGGCTCAGCGGTTTAGCGCCACCTTTGACCCAGGGCATGATCCTGGAGACCTGGGATCGAGTCCCATGTCAGGCTTCCTGCATGGAGCCTGCTTCTCCTTCTGCCTGTGTCTCTGCCTCTCTCTGTGTGTTTCTCATAAATAAATAGTTTTTTAAAGTATTAGTATTAATAAAATTGGACTTTTAGACCCAGGAGGGATAGGCAAAGAGAATCAGATAGTCCGAACCTTTCATTTTGTGGAAGAGTAAAATTAGATTCAAAAAGGTTTAGGGGATCCCTGGGTGGCTCAGCGGTTTAGCACCTGCCTTTGGCCCAGGGCATGATCCTGGAGTCCTGGGATACAGTCCCACATCAGGCTCCCTGCATGGAGCCTGCTTCTCCCTCTGCCTGTGTCTTTGCCTCTCTCTCTCTCTCTCTCTCTCTCTCTCTCTCTCTCTCTCTGTGTGTGTGTGTGTGTGTGTGTGTCTCATGAATAAACAAATAAAATCTTTAAAAAAAAAAAAAAAGATTGGAACTTACCCTGAACAACAGGGTTGTTCAGTTTGTTTAGTTAACAATACCACACAAGAAACTAAATCTGTGATTCTCAGAGCACTCATTTTTTTTCATAGCCCACCTTTCCTTCCATCAAAGTGCATGATACACCAAGATTTCTTCTTGAAAAGTACAACTGAATTCCTTAGACTTTTCTTATAACTTTATTTTTCTAGGTTTACTTATTTATTTGAGAGAGAGAAAGAGTGGGGGGTGGGGAGGAACAAGGAAGGGGTGAGAGAGAAAGAGTCTGAAGCAGACTCCAAGCTGAGCATGTAGCCAGACATGAGGCTCAGTCCCATAACCCCAAAATCATGACCTGAGCCAAAAGGAAGAGTTAGGCACTTAACCAGCTGTGCCACCTAGGCACCCCAACTTTTCTTAGAACTTTAAGAGACCTTCGTATTTCTGTAAGTCTGCTCAGACTGCCATCATAGGATATCACAGACTGAATGGCTTAAACAACAGAAATTTATTTTTACACAGTTCTGGAGACCGGAAGTCTAAGACTAAGATGCCAGCAAGGTTGGCTTCTGTTGAGTCTTTCTTCCTGGCTTGCAGATGGCCACCTTCTCACTGTGTCTTCACATGGCTTTTTTTTTTCTGTGTACATGCATTCTGAGTGTTTCTCCCTCTTTTTATATAGACACTAGTCTCATTGGACTGGGACCTCACCCTATGACCTCAATTAACTTTGATTACCTCTTTAGAGGCCCTAGTATCTACAAATACAGTCATATTGGGTGCTAAGACTTCAACATAATGAATTTGTAAGGGACACAATTCAGTCCATAGTTCTTTGCATCTTAAATCATTTAGGTTTTGTTGTTGTTGTTTTTAAGATTTTATTTATTTATTTATTTGAGACAGAGACAGAGAGAGAGCAAGACTGGTGGGGAGGGGCAGAGGGAGAGGAAGAAGGAGACTTCCCGCTGAGCAGGGAGCCAGACATGGGGCTCCTTAACAGGACCCCAGGATCATGACCTGAGCCAAAGGCAGACACTTAACCAACTAAGCCACCCAGGCTCCTGTATTTTTTTTTTTAATGTAAAGAAATTTCTGGGTAGAAGGGGGATTATGGATACATTTCTTTATGCTTAGCCATTTTCTAAATGTTTTTGTACTGAGCATGTATTACTGTGGCATTTTTAAGCATCTTAAAAATAGCAAGTAGAATCTGCTTTAAAATTTATCAAGATTGGTAATGGCATTCAATGTATAGTTCTCAGGAAAGTGGAAATAAATGGTGTGAACAGCTCTGGAAATCAGAAGTTTCTGTATTTCTGGTAGACCCAGTGTTTACACCATAACTCTGTGGCATTTGGTTGATTATAGCTCTATTCTGGAATCCTTTGGGATTTAGAAGAGGAAGACTAGTGGTTAGTCATTTCACTCTTTATGATGCCTGAAGGTATAGACAGTCATAATTATTTGGCAGATTTTTACATGTATACTATAAATAACTGCTTGGTTGACTTTCAGGGAATCCTGTGTCAGCCGTGGTTACCTGCAATCTCTTTGTTGTGCCTGCACTGAGAAAGATGCAGGGCATCTTGGATCCTCGGCCAACCATCATCAAAGCCAGGGTAATGTTATCTAAATGACCAGGAACCAAAACTGAAGCCTAATAACAATTAAGGATATGATTTCCCAACTGCCCAAAACAAACATCTAAAATTGTATATTAGTTTTGAGGGAAAATGTGGTTTTATTCTCCCCTTCATGATAGAAAATGGAGGGAAAAGGGTCCCTTTTATTCCCAGCCCACATTATTCCATGACTTCTAAAGTAAATCATTTTCTCTGGCTAGAACCCATATGAAAGTGGATATGTAATGATAAAATGGTAAATAGAGGGTGGGACTACCCTAAAATTTAACCTATATAGAAGGAGAGACAAGAATTCCCTTTGTTTTGTGCAAACTCACACAAGACAGCTATATATCTGCTCACTTTTTCTGGGGCCTCACTGATAAATTTTAAACAGTTCAGAAAAAGACAAAGGATGAGAAGACTAGGGAATCAGAAGGAAAGGGTGACCACATTCTGTGGAAAAAGACAAATAGAGCTAAGGAATTTGGCTTATAGTAAAAGTCACTTAGAAATGAGAATTCCCTTCTCCACCAACACTAACTTTAGTTTGATTTGCTACTATTCAATCGATTATGTAACACATTTTCTGTATAACTAATCAACAATTTTCTTGGCAATATAACCTACAGTATCAAACCATTGCTTTTTTAAAAAAAAAAGTTTGAGATACAACTGATACATAAAAATTTGCACTTATTTAATGTGAATATTCTGATGAAATTGGATATATGAATATGCCCACATCATCATCACAAAGTACTAAATATATCCAATACCTCCATAAATTTCTCTGTGTTCTTTCATGGTTTTGTTTGTTTTTTATGTATTTGATTTGCGGTACAAACATTTAACCTGGGAACTGTCCTCTTAAAGTATTTTAAATGTGGAGCACTATGTTGTCAGTTATAGGTACTATATTGCAGAATGGATCTCTAAAACTCATTCACCTTCCATAAGAGAAAATGTATACCCATTGACAACGACTCCTCATTGCCCTCTCCCCTCAGCCTCTGACAGTCACCATTCTATATTCTGTGTTTCTGTGACTATTTTAGATACCTCATGTAAGTAGAATCATGCTGTATTTATCTTTCTGTGACTGGTTTATTTCACTTAGCATAATGTACTCTAGGTTTATCCATGTTGCCACAAAGGGTAGGATATCTTTCTTTTTTAAAGCTGAATAGGGATCCCTGGGTGGCTCAGCAGTTTAGGCCCTACCTTAGGCCCAGGGCAATATCCTGGAGCCCCGGAATCGAGTCCCACATCGGACTCCCTGCATGGAGCCTGCTTCTCCCTCTGCCTGTGTCTCTGCCTCTCTCTCTCTGTGTCTCTCACAAATAAATGAAATCTTTAAAAAAAGTAAATAAATAAATAAATAAATAAATAAATAAATAAATAAATAAATAAATAAAGCTGAATAATATTCCTTTGTATGAATATAGCACATTCTTCTCCATTCATCTGTCAATGAACATTTGAGTTGTTTACATATCTTGGCTATCGTGAATAATGCTACACTAAGCATGGGGTACAGATATCTCTTTCAGATCCTGATTTCAGTTCTCTAGGATATATACCCAGAAGTAGAATTGCTCAACCATATGTTTTCTTTTTAATTTGAGGGGAAACCTTATACTGTTTCCGCTAAGCATTAGTGGCTGAACTGTTCTAAATTCCTACCAACCTTATATAAGTATTTCAGATTCTCTACTTCCTCACAATACTTATCTTTTGTGTTGTGGTATTTTGTTTGTTTGTTTGTTTGTTTTTTGGTAATAGCCATCCTAACAGTTGTGAGATGGTATCTCATTGTGGTTTTGATCTGCATCTCTCTAAGATTAGTGATGTTGAGCTCTTTCATATACCTAGTGGCCATTCATTTATCTTCTTTAGAGAAATGTCTATTCAACTCCTTTGTCCATTTTTAAATCAGGTTGTCTTTTTGCTGTTGCATTGAAGAAATTCTTATGTATTTTGCACATTAACCACTTATCAGATAGATGGTTTGACATATTTTCTTCTATTCCGTAGTTTCCCTTTTCACACTGTTGTTTCCATTGCTATGCAGAAGCTTTTTAGCTTGATGTAGTACCACTTGTCTGTTTTTTATTTTGTTGCTTATGCTTTTGGTGTCAAATCTAAGAAATCATTGCCAAGACCAATATCAAAAAAATTTTCCATATATTTTCTTCTAGTTTTACTTTTCAGGTTTTACATGTAAGTCCTTAAACCATTTTGAATTGATTTTTGTATATTGTGTAAAGAAAGGAGTCCCAATTTAATCTTTTGCATGTATATATCCAGTTTTTTCAAATACTTAAACTTACTTTTCAAGAGCTTTGAAATAAATTCAGATATGACAGAATGCTATGATTAATTGACAAGAAGAACACAAAGCACAGGAGAAGAAGAAGGAGAAGAAAGAAGAAGAAGAAGAAGAAGAAGAAGAAGAAGAAGAAGAAGAAGAAGAAGAAGAAGAAGAAATATTAATAAAATATTGTGAGAATATATAGGATAAAACATTAAGAAAATCTAGGCTTCAAATACTTTTAACATTGACCTTTTAAATACTGAGATTTTGTAGACAAGTATATGAAGAGGTATCCTCCTTTTCTTTAAAGGTTAACAAAAGTTCAACTAGATATTTCTGAAAACAAATTATTTGAGTTTTTTCTCCAATAATCACAGCAGTGGTCTTATTTTAAATTTAATGTAAAAAGAAGAAAAAAGCTATTAATGAACAAAAAGTATTCTCATCAAATCAGAAGGTCAAAGTTATAAAGCTTAGACATCTAAATCAGTAATATGAATTTGCTCACTGTTTTCACATTTGCTAAATTTAGGAAATAAGAAAAATCCACATTGTTATAAGAGAAAAAGGGGATTTCTCTTTGACTTTGCAAAGTTCTTATGAATCTTTTTATTTCTCATTTCAACATTCACCATCTCTTTTTTAAAACTGACATTGTGGTAGCTATCCTTACTGACAACAATGATTACAGAGGTCCTTGGTACATTGTTCACACTGCTGTTCATTCTTCTCAACTCATGGACTTGAGAATTGGTCCAAGAATCCTTTCTCCCACAGAGCAGTGTCCCTGGGACCATTAGAATGGGTCATCGGTGTACTTGGCTGTTCTCTTCTGTTTTTAGCTCCTAAAATCCTCTCCACACCTTTCCTGATATAACCACCACTTTTCATGAGAGACACAGAGACACAGACAGAGAGAGAAGCAGGCTCCATGTAGGGAGCCCAATGTGGGACTCGATCCTGGGACTCCAGGATCACGCCCTGGGCCAAAGGCAGGTGCTCAACCACTGAGCCACCCAGGCATCCCAGACAACTTTTAGAACATAACTTTATTTACTTTCTTTGAAACATGGTAAGCCTGTTGTCTCTATTTTTTGACCGGCCAATATGCAGCTTACAGACACCACTTATTACTGTTCTCCAAATGGTTGCTACAATCACAGCCTCTTCCAATCGTTACTGCTTTCAGGAAGTGAGGTAGTTGTTAAATACTGATGTCAGTAACTCACAGTGCTGGATCCAATACAGCTGTCCTATGGTCAGGGCAGTGCTGCAATATTTTAAAAGGTCAGCACAAAAAATGTCATCCTCTTATATCAATGTGTTCTGACAAACATCAGTTTAGAATAAACACTTGCCCTATGTCCTTGATCAGTTATGGTTAAAGAGTAAATACTCCTGATTTCCAGTAGACAATCAGAAACATAATCTTAATTTCTCAAATTATTAACCTAATGTTTCTACCAAAGAATATCCTTCTGTGTTTCCGTAATCTGTTTCCTTGATATCCCATCAAAGTGCCCTATACTGCCCTTGTTACCAACTTTTTTCTCTAGAAACGTACCTGAGATAACTTATTTTAGTATTAACAGCTCACCTCAGGCAGTGATTAAGAGAAGGGAAAGGGAAAATATTTTCATCTCCCATGGGACCAAGTCCTGGGAGAATATGGGCATGTTGAACTCTACTGGACTATTCTAATTTGTCCATCTTACCTCTTCTCTTGAGCATTACTGTCTTTATGCTATGAGAAGTTAGTGAATGCTTTCTGTCTGATGTCATAAACAGTAAAATACAAAGCATTTTAACAAAATGCTTATTTTGTTCAAAAACTGCTAAGGTATTTACTACTGTAAAGAGAAATATGATTTTTTATTGTGACAAGATCAGTCATTGATCATCAAAAGATATTATTGGATGCCTATTATATGAGAATATCATGGCCTGTGGATTAAAAAACAGATACTGAAAATTATAGAACTGTCCATGATTTATAAAAAATGTGAATCAGTTTTAACTCATTAGGAAATGAAAAATATGACTAAGTTATAAAATTTTTGGAAAAGTTAATTTGAAATTGATCCATATACCACCATGTGCAAAGATTTTAAAGTTACATGATAAATTTTAGACACATGACTTACAAAATAAATAAACTCAAGGATCTCTCTGGTAGACTAATGAAATCAGTGCCTTATAACTTCATAGAACTTATCAAATAAGTTAGTGTAAAAGTGCAGTAACCACTCCTTGGAAGCTTTGACCAGACTGGAGCAAAGTCAAGGCCCCCAAGACCAACCAGGGCCTTGAGCATGTTTTCTTGGGCTGCCACCCAAATAGAATTCCCTTTGGTCATCTGTTTTCTCAACTCTTCTCCAGTCTATACAGTCCTGAGTCCCAGCCTATTCCCCTGAATCTTCTGGAGCTTTCACTTTTTTCACATTACCACCATCAAACCTTCCAAAGACATTCAGGTCTTTGGCAGGTATCTCATAGTCTACCTTCTACCTCACCTCTTACTGTCAGTTGCTTTATTTCCACAATTCTCAATACCTTTATTTCTACTTAAGCAATTCAACATGTACATCCTTTTTCAATACCCTGAAGTACTCTGTCTCAAAATCACCAACTCTGGTATACAGTTTAGGAACAATGGCAAGTTACCTATCCATAGATATTAAAGGGTGTAGGCACTCTTTTTACCCCTCTCCTTTCCCTCAGTCCTTAAGCCCCTCTGGCCTTTTCACTTTCTTCATCCAACCTAAATCCTGTGGTGTAGCATGTCACTTTTTTTTTTCCTCTTCCTTCCACAATAGCCCACTCTAAAAAATCCACAAACTTGGATCAGTCCTCCTTTCTTTATCCTTCACTTTTATTCCTAGCTACAACTAAAGAAGAGTCTACAGGTGTTCATGTTATCACTTCCAATTTATAAACCTCAGCAGGGGCTTAGATTCCCCTTGTAATCTTACCCCTATATCCCATGGATCAGCGTCTTCCATTCCTTACTACAGCCTTCCAAATCTTCACCATTCTCCTAAAACTGCCTCCATCATCCATATCCTCTGACTTTTATAACCAAATAAGTCTGGTTTGAATGATGGCTCCAACATTTACTTGATTATAACCCTTGACATATTTAACAGTTTACCGACTTCTAATCTTGCCTCCTCTTAAACCCCTATTCTATCTAGCTCTAATCATGTAAGCATCTCCAACTAAAATGCTTCCATCTTCCCATGACCCCAGGGTTAAATCCAAACTTCTCACGTGAACATAGGAAGCCCTTCATCCCAAGGCTTTTTTTCCACTCTGGCTTCATCTGTGTCTCATCCTGTACTCTCACCATTTTAAACTATTTACTGCTTTTAGAATGGGTATGAGATCTCCTACCTCTGACTGTGAATTTTTCCCCCTTCCTAGAAGGTTGGAAAAAATCCTTTCCACCATCTCCTTTCTCAACTTTCAAGATTCCTTAGTCATAAGACTCAGATATTGCATCTCGTATGAAACTTTTCTCAGTGTCCCTAAGAAGAGTTGATTACTTAACTTCTTTATACTCTTTTAATGTCATATTAACAGCTGAGGGATAACACGACTGCATTGTATTTGCAATTAATTTTTTACTCTGAGAATTCTTTAAGATCACTTCTCTATAAGATGGGGAGAACAAAAAAGAACAAAATAGTCTTTCCTTTTTTAATTAAGAAATTTTATTTTTTAAAAAATAAATAAATAAATAAATAAATAAATAAATAAATAAATAAATAAGAAATTTTATTTTTTAGATTCACTGGAAAATTAAATGGAAGGTACAGAGAGTTCCCATATACCCCCTGTCTTCACACATGCACAGCCTCTCCCACTATTGAAGTCTGTACCAAAGTGGTACATTTGTTTCAACTGGTGAACCTACACTGACACATCATTACCACCCAGGGTTACCAAGGGTTCTCTCTTGGTGTTGTATATTCTGAGGGTCTTGACAAATGTATAATTACATATATCTACCATTGTCATGTCATATAGAGTAGTTTCATTGCCCTAAAAACTTTCTGTACTCTGCCTGTTCATCCCTCCTTCCTGCTAACCCTGAATCCTTTTTACTGTCTCCATAGTTTTGTCTTTTCCAGAGTAATGTGGTCTTTTCAGATTGACTCCTTTCACTTAGCAATATGCATTTAAATTTCCTCCATATCTTTTAATATATTCATAGCTTATTTTTTCTAGTGCTAAATAATATCCATCCACCTACTGAAGGACATCTTGATCACTTCCGAGTTTTGACAATTATGGATAAAGCTGCTACAAACTGATGTGCAGGTTTTTATGTGGACATAAATTTTCTGTTTAGTTGAGTAAATAGCAAGGAGCATGATTGCTAAATTGTATGGGAAAAGTATTTTAATCTGGTAAGAAACTGCCAAACAGTCTTCCAAAGTGGCTGTACCATTTTGCATTCCCAGCAGGGATGAATAAGAGTTCTCATTCCTTCATATTCTTACCAGGATTTGATGTGGCCAGAGTTTTGCATTGTAGCCTTTGGAGGGGTATGTGCAATGATAATCTCATTGTTTTTGTTTACAATTCCCTAATGACATATAATATTGAATATCTTTTAATATGCTTCCTTACCATCTGTATATCTTCTTTAATGAATTATCTGTTTAGGTCTTTTGTCCATTTTTTAAAAAAGGTTTATTTATTTGAGAGAGCATGAACAGGAGGGGCCAGAGGGAGAGAGAAAGAGAATCTCAAGCAGACTTCGTCACTGAGCACAGAGCCCAATGCAGGGCTTGACCTTACAATCCTGAGATCATAACCTGAGCTGAAATTCAAAGTTAGTTGCTTAACCAACTGAGCCACCGAGGCGCCCCTTGCCCATTTTTTAATCCAGTTGTTTCTTATTGAGTTTTAAGAATTTTTTGTATATTTTATTTGTTGTTGTTTCTTTAAGATTTTATTCATTTATTCATGAGAGATACAGAGAGAAGGGCAGAGACATAGAGGGAGAAGCAGGCTCCATGCAGGGAGCCCGATGTGGGACTCGATCCTGGGACTTCAGGGTCACATCCTGTGCCAAAGGCAGATGTTCAACCACTGAGCCACCCAGGCATCCCCCTTTTGGGTAACAGGCCTCCATTAGATGTCTTTTACAAATATTTTCTCCCAGTTTGTGACTTATCTTCTCATTCTGTTGACTTTTTTTTTTTTAAGATTTTCTTTATTCATGAGCAACAGAGAGACAGAGACATAGGTAGAGGGAGGAGCAGGCTCCCTGCAGGAAGCCCGATGTGGGATTCAGTCCCAGGATCACAGGATCACGCCCTGAGCCAAAGGCAGGTACTCAACCACTGAGCCATCCAGGCATCCCTCTGTTGACTTTTTTTTTCAGTTTTCTCCCTTAGACATTTACATATAGAACATACAATATAACACTATACCACATAATACAGTTTTATCTCTTGAGTGACTACAGCATGTCAGAAAAATATTCAAAAGGAAACAGAGGAAACAGTCCGAGTCCACAGCCCACTTCAATTTTGAATGAATAGAAAAAGTCATTGAAGTGAAAAACCAACTTTTTCACCAAAAAAAAAGGTCTGTGTTTACTCATCATACATCATTCTTATAAGCATCAACATTCATAGTAAATAAGTGATTTCTTAAGCTAAGTGATATAGTATGCCAGAATTATAATGTCAGTACAACTTAATAATAAACTATTATGCATTTTAGTAAAATGCCATAAAAATCTAGTCAGTTTCATCTCTTGCTGCAACTGATTATTGTTTCTTAAATTACCATAAATATCTTCCTTTAAAACAAACAACACTATTTTGTAGATGAACAAACAGTTTTAGGAAAGCAAAATATCTTGTTAATCCAGCATACCCATTAGCAGCACAATTGGGAGTAGAACCTGGATGTCAGATATCATCCTATTCTAATTTGTTCTGCCATTCTACTAAGAGCCAATCAGTGCCATTGTCAGGGGAAAAAACCCCTGCTTAAACACTTAGCAAATAACACAGCATGGGAATGGCCTTGTAGTCTCATTTTGGAGAACACCCATACACAGAGGGATTGAAAGACAGTTTTGCCATCAAGTAAGCACATAATTTAGGAATAATGGGAAGTTACCCCTCAGTAGATATGGAATAGAGTATAAACATAAACAATATCAAGTGAAAGAGGTATGATTTAATCAAGAAAAAAAGAATTGAATTTTATTCTGGATTCCAGAGGAAAAGCAGGGGTGTCAGAGTGAAAAATTAGAATGTTTAAGAACAGAGTGACTAGAATGGATTGGAGATAGATTTACTTGAATCAAAAGATCTAGGATCTTGGGACTCCTGGGTGGCTCAATGGTTGAGCGTCTGCCTTTGGCTCAGGGCGTGATCCTCGGGTGCTGGTATGGAGTCCTGCATCAGACTCCCCAAGGGAACCTGCGTCTCCCTCTGCCTAGATCTCTGCCTCTCTCTGTGCATCTCTCATGAATAAATAAATAAATAAAATATTTTTAAAAAATTTCTAGGATCTTCAAGTTGTAATTGTATTAGCATAAATAATCCTGTTTTAGTTGGATAAAGGGTTTTGGACCCTTTTAAGGTAGAGTAACTCAAATTATTATTGTGCTATGTAAAATGAACAAGTCTTATTCAATAACATTGAACTAATCTTTGATGGGCTATAGTACATAATCATATGCAATATAAAGTTGTTCAGTTGTTGTGGAATACCAACACATTATCACTCTAATTTTTCAGATTTCAGGATGAATTTAATGAAATAGATTTTTGTTAATGACTCTAGGTTAAAGGTTGATTAATCATTCTATATTGTGTATGTAAACTGAATTTGCTATATTAGAAAGGATTTTATACTTATTAGAAAGATATGAAATATGCCAGTAAAGACTCATTCAGAGGAATTCTTTTAGTACCAGTGATGTGGCTAAACAAAAATGGTAATACTTTTAGTAGAGACTACTTTTATTTGCCTTAATCAAGATTGTATATCAGTATTGGGACACTAGGGGAATATTCAAGAGAAAAGAAAGTAAGTAACTCTTTTGTATTAAAGGTAGGCTTATGAATGCGTAGCAGAAGAGTGTCTCAGTAAATGGATGGACAGACAGATTGACACACATATAAATGGATATTGAGCTTATTTGTTTGTTTAGGTCTATTTCTTTTATTTTCAGTGTTAAAATACCTACTTTGATTTCTCAATTCATAGGTCAGAGGTATCTGTACTATCAGCTCATAAAATTACACTTCAAAAAAATAGACCTTATTGTTTTCATCTGCCCTTTTCATGACTACGAATACCAACTTCTTAGCCTTCTTTTCTCTTTTCACCAGAGTAACCCAACCTCTGTACTTCCTGTATTAGAAACATAAGATGGCAGTGGTGGAAACAGCAGAATGCCAGGATATTTTCCACATCCACTTTATTCTTTGCACAACTTTCACCCCTATAGTTTTAACAGATGATCAGGTGATCAACTTTGTTTTCATTTACTCTATATTCTATAGTTATCATGTGACGTAAAACTGGATCCTCGCCCAGAATACCATCGGTGTATATTGACATGGCATCACCAAGAACCACTGCCTTGGGCACAGAGTACAGGTTAGTCAGTCATTCATACCTGTGAGTATTTCTATACATGTATTCTGGTAAAGCACAAAACTCATGTATAAACTCCTTCCTAGTTTTGTAATTGTTGTACATTGTCCTTTTTGAAAGATTAGATGAGTTCAATTATTCCCAAACAGTACAGCATAAGAAGAAAATAAGAGTAAAAACAAAAATTTTAATAAAGGTTTATTTATACCATGGAACCATATTTTCTAGATAAACTTTTGAAATACAATTCTAGAATCATGGAAGATTTTTATTTATTTGTTCAACCTCGAAATCCTGAGTATAGTTTTGGTTGTAGAAAAAGGAGGGTACTATGTTCTGCCACCCTGAAATGTGACATTAAAGCTCAATTATAATGTGATTCTCTGTAGCCTCCACCATACCTTAGATATTAGTAAAGTTTAAGGACTAAGAAATCAATATTGATAACATAAGAGTTCTTTGACTTTAAACTAGGTGAAGTCTAGTTACCTCTTCCAAACTTTAAACTTTTATCCCCAAGTATCTTAGCCATATTTACCTACTTTTTGATTTAGCTCCAGAAAACCTGTATCAGTTTTCAAACAAAGGTCCTATCAAGTACAAACATCAGTTAGCATAGTGACTAAGGACATAGGCAATGATTCCTCTAGACTTGCATTCACATTGACCACCAACTAGTTAATAGGACTGTAGGCAAGTTACTTAACCTCTTTTGAATCTTATACAAATCAAATAAGATAGTTAAGGAAACTACTTGCTGTGCTGTCTGGCACTTAGTAAACACTAAAGAAATGATTGTTGTCTTTTTAAAAATAAGTTTGACAATCCTCTCTTTTCAGACATAAATAACATTTTAGCCTGAACTGAGAAATTCTGTGGCATTTTGCATGATGCTATAAAATCATATTTTATTCTTTTAAGCAATAATTCCTAATGTTTATTTTTATTATTAGCTTAATATGCATACATTCATCACTCTGTTGTTACAGCTTATATATATTAATATTTTTAAAGCAGTTTAACTTGTTACAGATGATATTTATGTTTGTCCCCAATTTTTCCCCTGCTGAGAAAACAGAATAAAACAAAACAAAAACAATAAATAAATAAAGGATATTTAAAATAGGATACAGTAGCAAGGCTACCTGGAAAAAGGACTGGGAAGCTTGATCTTCTTTCTTCCCCTTGAAGCCTCTGTTTCTGTTCATTGGTGTTTATTTTGAAAAAAACTGCAAGGGCTCCAGATGTATGCCCTGTGATGTTGCTGCTGTAATGAGGTATTTCTTTCTAGGTAACCAGATGAGCAGCCGTCTGATGAGCATGCGCAGTGCCAACGGATTGTTGATGCTACCTCCAAAGACAGAGCAGTATGTGGAGCTCCATAAGGGCGAGGTGGTGGATGTCATGGTCATTGGACGGCTATGATGGTCACCAGAGAGAGAAAGCTTCGATGCATGTCCACATATCATTGACTGTATCCTGTAATATGCAACGGCACAGCTAGTTTTTCTGATTTGGATAAAAGTTGATCTGTATAGTCAACATCTTGAACTATATTTCAAAAGAATTTAAATACCTTTTAAAGAAAAAACATCTAAAAATAAATCTTAACAGACAATTCTATTCTGATTATATCAAAGCAAATTTTTCCTTTCTTGCAAATTGCTTTGTGTGTTCAATGCTAGGTCTGATAGCGATAGCTTTTAGTAGACAGCAGTAGGTGCCTGCAGAACTTGTGTTTTTCTCATCTTTAAAATACAACTAATTATGCTCTTAATCAAGGCTGTCTGCTTATTTATACTAGCGTAGGCAACACTTAAATTTCCCTTCTTAGTATGCTTCATAACCGCTTTTCAGAGAGCTTTTGCTTGTTCTTTATCATGTATCTCGTGTTTATGTGCACAGTGCCAATTGAAGAGTGACTGGGTGGAGACCCTGCCTTGCCTCAGGGAGAACCCTCCCCTGCAGAGTGTCAGGTACCTCACCCCAGTAGCCTCAAGGCACAGTACTCTTGGGCAGTAACTGGATACCTTTTATTTGAATAAACAAACTGGGGGAAAAAATGCTTCCTTAAGTGCTGACAGCCTTTTTAACCAACACATTTAAAATTGTACAGAACAAAAAATAAAATCAAAGACTGATCTTGTACAGATATTAGTGTTACCAGCATTCACGTGGAAATCAAGAGCAAAGAAAAAATAATGTTAAACAACTCTGTACCATAACATTTTCTGTAATGATACTGAAACTTAATGAATAAAAAAAAAATCCTTGATCATTATTTAAAAATCTATTGTATTGGTCTTGTTATTAAAAAAGAGAAGATTGTCATGCCATTCTGATGGGGTTCTGCTTGGATAAAAGGAATAGTTAAGATGATGTGGCAAGGGTAAGTGGTATAAAGGTGATTGAAACCGTGGCATAATATATCTCTGTATTTTACTATAGTGTTATAGTCTATAGCATTGTGAAAATACAAATTAGAAAATACTAGAGAACCTACAGTTGGTCTGGTCTTTCCAGTCATAGCAAAAGAACAGCAAGCAAATTTAGAGAGAAGAAACTTGATATGGAGGAAAAAACTAATTTCTTCTTATAAATGAATAAAAACAAATTTCAAAAATCTACAGTTCTTTGGAATGAAGAAAAAGAATAAGTAATGAAGCAGGGAATTGCTGATGAGTAATTGGAAATTTTTGTATATGTTAGGAAGGAAGAAAGAAATGAGAAAAATCTGTACTACCCATAGAAAATATACAAACAAAATAAACTCTATCCATGTGGCTCCAATAATAAAAACTTAGAGGCACTTTCTAAGTACTAGTAACAAAGGACATTAATTAAATATTCCGTAGGGTATACTTAGCAAAGCAAACAACAAAAATTGGACTACTAGTGAACAAAGTGTCAAATGATGGTGTTGGATAAAGCCAAGTAGTAAACAAGAAAAATTTGATAGTGATATTTGATTTTTCCAGAGTTAAAAATAACATGATCTATATTTTAAATCTTTTATATTTTCAGCTAAAGAACATAAGGTTAATTAATAGAAGTTAAATGAAAGACCATGCAAAGTGTCTACATTCTTTGAAGAAACATTTATTAAGCAACTATGTGCTTGGATACAAGGTACATCATGCTATTGTTTACAAAGCATAACAGCTGACATTATACTCCCATTAAGGGAAATGACAAAAATGTACAAGTAACCATAATATTTAATATGCTTGATATTTGCTAATACATGGTAGAGTGTGTAGAATGTGATAAGTGCTATAATTCAGATTTAAAGAGAGGAGTTCAAGTGAGAACTTCCTACAAGATAAGGTTTCAAGGGGCAAGATGGTATTTTGGTAGATCTTGAAGGAAAGGTAGATTTTAATGGTGATGATACAGGAAGAAGGGTATTCCAGAAACAGAGAATTATAGACAATTAATAATTATTATTTCTATTATAGAATGTAAGCTCCACACAGCAAAGATTTTTATTTTGTTCACTGATATTACCCCCAGGTCCTTAGAAGAGTTCCTGACATATATACACATGTGCAGACATCAGTAAACACTTGTTCAGTGAAACACATAGTACAGAGCTTATTATATACCAGGCACTTTTTTTTTAAGTGAGATTGAGAGAGAGAGAGAGAATCCCAAGCAGGCTCCACTCTGAGCATGGAGTCCAATGCAAGGCTCAATCTCACAATCGCAAGATCATGACCTAAGCAAATATCAGGAGTTGCATGCTTAACCAACTGAGTCACCCAGGCACCTCTATGCCAGGCACTTTCTAAGGACTTTCATGTTTAATTTTAACCACAACAATAGGACTATTATTTCTATATTACAGATGAAACTGAAGCACAGAGAAATTAAGATATCTGTCCGTGGTCACACAGCTAGTTAGAGAAGGAGCCAGGATTCAAATTTAGCAATCTGGCTTCAAAGTCCATACTCTTAAACACCAAACTACAGAAACAGAAAACAGATTTATTATTTGTAAGACCAAAAAAGTATATTACATGTTTGAGGCCCAAACTGAGAAGTTCTTAAATACCAGTGTAGAGTCTAGATTTATTAAAGGTAGCAAACTGTTAAGAGTCTCCCGATCAGAGAAGTGTTAGGATCAGAACTGTCTTTTTAGGGAAAATTGTCTGGCAGCACTGAGAAGGATGGATTGGCCTGGCGGGAACTGGAGTGAGACCCAGCTAAGAAGTGATCTGGTGGTGCAGCTAGGGGTAATGAACCTTAACTTTAGTGGCACAAGTGATGGTGATGGAAAGATCATGACAGATGAATGTGCCTCCGGGCATAAAGAATGGAAAGAACTTTATGACTGATTTCAAATTTTGGAAAGGAAGGTATTGGAATAAGAGATGAATTGAAGTCTTCAGTCTTAGCTGACAGAGAAAATGTTAAACCATTAGCAAAAAATTAATTTTGTGGAGGAGGTGATGAATTTGGATATGTGTTTGAATGCCGAGGAATTCTAAGGTATAAATGTCCTGTTGGCATTTAAAAATACAAGTTAGGAGTTCACAAAAGAAATACTGGCTGAACATAATCTTGGGGATCATTCACATGGCAGTGGTATTTGAAATATTAAGGGTCGGTGGGAAAGATTAACAGGAGAAGAAGACAGGACCTTCAGGAGCACCTTATTTTGAAGTGTTGGAGGAAAAAGACAATGAATGGAATGAAAGAAAAAAGTTTGTAGAAGAGAAGAAAGCAAAGAGTTCAATGTTCCAAAACCAAGGAGCGTTTCAAGAATGAAGGATAATCAACTGTCAAAAAAAAAAAGAGAGAGAGGAAAGAAAGAAAGAAGAAAGAAAGAAAGAAAGAAAGAAAGAAAGAAAGAAAGAAAGAAAGGAAAAAAAGAAAGAGAAAGAAGAAAGAAAGAAAGAAAGAAAGAAAGAAAGAAAGAAAGAAAGAAAGAAAGAAAGAAAGAAAGAAAAGAAAGAAAGAAAGAAAGAAAGAAAGAAAGAAAGAGAGAGAGAGAGAAAGGAAAGAAAGAAAGAAAGAAAGAAAGAAAGAAAGAAAGAAAGAAAGAAAGAAAGAAAAAGTCAAACATGAAGCATGAAGGCTCAAAATGATTAGGCAATCATTTGTAAGCTGCAAGAGTGCAATTTCAATGGTGGGTTGAGGGCAAACTCCAAGTTGCAAGATAGACTGTAATTATAAATTATTTGGAAATTGTACATGAGAAAAGATAGATACAGGGTGGTAGCTTAAACTGATAACAAGGTAGAAGAAAGACTTTTGTTCGAGTTTTGAGAAAGAAGGAAAACAGTAGTGGGCATATTAAAAATGCAAGAGTAAGGTGCCAGATGGAAAAGACGATGAGGGAAGGGCTGGATTTAAGGATGCTGGGGGCCTCATTAATCTGGAGAAGAAATGGAACATTTTTCCTTCTGAGTAAAAAAGAGATTTTAAAAAAATATATGAATACAAAAAAATATATGAATACCTTTGAAGTGGATACAAGGGAAACTTAATTAAATTTTTCAATCAAATGATTCTACTTGGCACAGTGGAAGTCAATGCCATTTAATCTTTTTTGCATTTATTTGACAAGTTATTTTAAAATTATAAAAGTATGATGTATTACAATTTTTCTGTGTTGGTTGATACTTAAATAAAAGACTATATATATGATGTCTTCAGATTCTTGCTTATAACTATGTGGCAGTCACACAGTTCCTTTTTAACTTTTTTGGTTCTATGTTTTAGTTGTTTCAAATCGTATCACACAATGAGAAAAAGAATGTGAACAGATTAAGTGTGCCAAGTAAATGCTATTAAGTGGTGATGTATGTTACAAGTGGATTCTTTGGATGGCTTTCATTTTTAAAATTATTTGCTAATGAACAAAACTTTGTGGACTTAACCCAAACCAACTCTTGATCTTCATGAAACCACGTATAACAAGGTAAGTCTTTATTATTTTCAAATACAGAAAGTGGGTATTTGTGTAAGGACAGAATTCAAAGCAAATAAACTATGTATCTTATTATTCCAATGATGATGGTTCTAAGTTCAGTGATGATTGCATTCTAACGTGCTTATAAAAAGTACCAAGCTGGACTCTATAGCAGAATTATATTGTTACCATGTTCATCAATAACTTGGCTTAGAGCCAAAAGGCTAAAGAATTGCTCAATTTTGGCCATTTTGTATGGTTAGTTGCCAATATGTCTCCTACAGTATTTTTGCAATAACTCAATAATTTATTTAAAAAGCATTTATTGGGATCCCTGGGTGGCGCAGCGGTTTGGCGCCTGCCTTTGGCCCAGGGCGCGATCCTGGAGACCCGGGATCGAATCCCACGTCGGGCTCCCGGTGCATGGAGCCTGCTTCTCCCTCTGCCTGTGTCTCTGCCTCTCTCTCTCTCTGTGACTATCATAAAATTAAAAAAAAAAAAAAGCATTTATTAAGTACCTACAATATTCAGGCTCCATGCTGGGCACTGAAGTTACAGTGATGAACAAGATAAAGACTCTGATATCCAAGTGGAGGACATAGATTTTGAGAAAGAAAAAATATTATTTGAAATCCAGATTATGAAAAATCTATGAAGAAAATCCAGTGATATGTTAAAGAATAACTGGGTAGAGGCCTAAATCATATTTGGTTGTTGTGTCAGGGTGCAGCCATTAATAAAGAAGACAGAAATCACACTATGAGGCTTAACTGTAGGAATAAGTTAAATAAGTGTTAGAAGCCTGGAAAAGCACAAAGGAAACATTGAGATATTAGAGGAATAACTATAGGAAGTAACTATCACACTGGGTCTAGGACGCAGGAGGAAGAGGTTAATCAGAATCTAGAAGCTCAGAGGTCAGACCCTTTGGAGCTAGGACTCAGCCTTTTAAGGAGAGGGCACTGCCCAGCTGCTAATTCGGGGGGGGGGGGCGGGGGGGGGGAATGGAGGCTAGAACAAATTGCAGTTGCCAGGGCAACACTGACAGAAACAAGAGAACAAGGAGCACAAGTCCCTTCTTCCCTCCCTGATGCTCCCTGTAATCTAATGCAAACCTGTTGTTGAAACCTAACAGGAAGCCAGCTGGTGAAAAACACCATTTGCAGAGTTCCAGCCCCAGCACCACAATGCAGAATGCAATGGTGGATTTGGAGCTGAGAGACAATCACTGCTCAAGTAATGGAGAAGGGGTCTCTAAACAGATGACATTGAGTTCAGATCTAAAGGATGAAAATAAGCCCCACATGTTAATAATTGAGAGAAGAGCATTTCAGATAGAGGTAAAGCCTCAAAGAATACATCAGAA